TGGGGCTCTGCCTTCTTTCCTCCAGCCACCGACAGGCTTCCTCCGGTGGTTGGGAGAGCTGACATGGACACAACATGGGCCTTCAGTGTTAGAACAAACAAAAAGGAACATACAAAAGACAAAGAGCAAATGAACAGGGCTGAGTTTCAATAGCTGTCTCTATTTTGGATCTGCTTCTTGAGTCTGCATAAAACCCAGATAACGAATCCCTTATCTCTCTACACTAGTTTTTATTAAGAAAGAATAATATCGAAAAGCTACAGGTAACATTAGCAACCACTAAAAACTCTTATCTCTGGTTGATCACACACACCTAAACTGAATATTTGAGCTGTGGTTATTTCTAACTTAATTTCCTTGAAAATTATGAAAGTTTAACTTTGAGAAGGGAGCTCTGATTAGGAAATCTGACAAGAGGAGTCGAAAGGATTCATAATTAGAGGATTTGATACTAGTCAGATTCACTAACATGCTAGCAAACCTCAGCCCTGCACATGTAGCATTTTCCTGACTGTGACCACAGCGTTGGATTTTTCTTACTTGACAGTTCATCGGACAGATTCAGTCCCAGCTCGTCCAGCACCTGGGACACGATGGCGTCACTATGTAGAGATACAATCACAAATGCATCAAGTGAATAAAAAAACATATACTGGTTTATTTACATCACATTGAGGGGCTGAATTAAGAAGTTGAAAAACCAAAGCTATTGTATAATCTGTTAATTTTGCTGGAAGGACTTCTCTAGGAAAAATGCAGTACGTTTCAACTTGTTGAGGGAGGTGTACAGGGGGCACTGCCTATTGTTCTCCTTCTTAGTTCTACAACAATACTGGAACAAAATAAAGGAAATTATGGCTATGACATTTCAAAGCCAAAGCCATGTTTTATTCTATGATGTTTACTTATTTATATATTTATTATTGTGTTTTGTTCTATGGGATGCAGGCGTTGGGGTAACAAACATAGAGAGAAGCAAAGATAAGACAAGGTTTTCACCAAAAAAATAACAATAACTGTTTTGTCGCTCCTCTCGGGCCCTCACCTCTCCTCCTCATCATCTTCATCACCCATGGCATCATCAATGGCGTCATTCATCATCTCCTCTTTCATGTCCATGATCTCACTCTGTCGCTCAAACTCCATCATGATTTTCTGAATCTGAGGCAGTTTCAACTGTGAAAGTGAAATAAATATATGACCGTCAACACAAGAGGCCTGTTGTTTATTTCCCTTGACCAAAGTAAATCAGTGACTGTTTGATAGACCTGTCTGTTCATTGTGGCCATGGCTTTGGTGACGCCTTTCATAGCCTGTGCCATGCTGTTGTTGGACTTGAGCGTCTGAATCTTTAGGCTGACTGCCTGGATGTTAGCTTTCATCATGATGAACTTCTTGACATAGCGCCTTGTGCGAACCAAATCCTTGGCCATGATCTTGACAGCGTCCTGAAAAGGTTTAGATAACACATATCACAGCTAAGATTCTTCCTTAACAAATGAATCTCTCCACATTGACACTATTTCCTTCATCTCACCATTTGTCCCTGTTTGGCCATTTTCTTTATGTCAGCAATGATCTTCTTTTCCTGCTGCTCCAGTTTCATTCGCTCTCGGTCCAGGTCTCTCATGGCTCGATTGAGCGCTCTCTGATTCTGCCTCAGCATCTCCTCCGGAGTCTTCCTCTTCCCAAACAGGAACTCCATCTGGTTAAAAATACCACAAGGAGGAGGTCAAATGCAGTCAAACTAAATAGGTACAGTCAAATATAACATTTGGTGGGTTAAATTTACAGTAGTGCTAAAGTAATTCAGCAATCAAAGAAAATCCGCAAGTATCCATAGGTAATTTAATCTGCAACAAGCAAGTAATAATCTAGTGATTTCTCAAGCAGAAATGCCAAACATTTTCTGGTTCCATCTTCTTAAATGTGAGTATTTGTTGCCCTTCTCTTATATCTTTTTAAAGTGGATACATTTGAGCTTTGGATTGTTAGCTGGCCATCTGAGATAAGTAGAATTTTCCCCTTTTCTGTGAAAAACAAGTTAAAATGATTACATATACAACAATATAGTTGTTCATTGTTTCAACTAGCATTACTCAACTTACTGCTTTATCATTCCAGCTCTAGTTAGATAAGATAGCTAGTAGCTAGTTGTAAAAATATGAAGGAAGTGTAATTAGTACTTTTTGTACAAATAAATCATAAAATCAGCACTGAAAAATAAACAATGACAGTTTTCACTAATATCACTCGGTTTCTAACATTGTTTCAGCCATGTCAAACCTCCATATAACCCCCTTGTATCCTGGAAAATATTAGTCAGCAGTCAGATATGTGAGCGGAGGCCCGAAGTCTCCTTTCAGCTCTTTTAGCTCAGCTGTCCTCCCCTCAAATCTGTCAACATTTTGCATATTAACCCCACCACCACAAACCTCACCCAGCTGACAGAAACAGGAGTATGTACTCTCACCGTGTACTAAGCTCGTCGTAAGAAACAAGTAAAAGGCGTTGAGGGAGTCTTCTTCGACTTCAATTCGACACAATTTTAAACGATTATTTGTTTTCTTTCAGACTCTTCCGTGTTGCGATAGTTTCACTTCCGGGAAATGACGTATTGCGTATATTTACCATTGCGTCACATATATCAAGTTTTTATCAAGTTCACGTAAGAGAGGAAGTAACACGAGAATAACAACTTTGAAAATTAAACGTCCATTCGTACTTTTGTACTCCATATCCAGAAACTATGCCTCATATATTTGGCATTTCATGGGCGGTATTTAGTCACCAGATGCTCCTTGCAGTCGCAAGGGGATCATACTGGAAATCACTGTGGCATAGTGACATTGTGGTTTCTAAGTTAATTAATGACAATGATATCCAAATTACCCAACAGAAAATCTTCTTTTTACTTAAAAAGCTTTGAGGACATTAAATCCAGTACTAATAAGAAGGCAGTAACATTTTCCATCTATCTAGCTTTCTATCTATCTATCTATCTATCTATCTACACATACAGTATGTATGAACACCAAATGTTGATGAGCAGCAAATGCACAGCAAACTGTTTGTATTTTCAGAATCCAGTCACAACTTTATCAATCCAAAATGTGTATGATTCGTCTCGCCATTTTAGTGTGCTATAATTCTGTTCTTATTTCTTATACAAAGCTCATTTATATTGTTTTTCCTCGAGGCTTTTATTTTATAAATGGGAGCGTTCGACATCCGGTCATAATCACACGGTACTTGACTGAGATGGATTGCACGTGTGAGTTTCACGTAAAGGCCGCAAACAGATCAACTATTCAGGAAGATGGTGGTGTCGAGGCATAAACATTAATAACATTTTAATGTTTTAGACTGAACCATGAGACCTACTGAGTGAAATCTGTGGACAAATGATCTCTGGATTGATGGACTTCTCAGGCAACTCTACAAAGTTTCTCTGGGACAACTACCTTTTGTTTTATTTTTATAGAATAAAATAAACAAATTTAATATGTGGGTACTCAGTATAGCACATCAACACAAGCGGCTACTCGTTTGGACTAGAAGATTGCACAAGAATTCAGTTTTCTCAGTAGTGGGCTCTCAGTTTACCTCTTACCATGTGACAGCTACTCTTCTGTGCCCAGAGGACAGTAACATCAACCCTGTGGCAAGGAGACGCCATAGACACAAGTCTGTTGGATCTAATGGACAGAAAGGCCATGAGAGGTCAGTTCAGAGTAAAGTCTGGATGAATGAGATCCCAGTGTTGCAGAAGAAGAATCAGAGGAAGGGAGATGACCACAGAATATCATCTGAAGTCAGGAAACTGTGTCTGGAGGATTTCCCTGCAGGGGGGGAGAGGCCAGTGAGACAGAAGTCAGCGCTAGACTCCAAAATAGAGAACTATGAGATTGTTTTTGGCATCGCTCCCTGTCTCCTGGCTTTGACTCAGGGTAGAAGAATGACCCATAAACTGTTTGTAAAAGATGGCGAGGCCTCTCACAGGGCTTCTGTGTTAAAGGTGTGTGAAGAGGCTCATCAGCGAGGAGTACAAGTCCATCGGGTCAGCAAAAAGGATCTGGACAGTATGTCTTCTGGACGTGTACATCAAGGAGTTTGTCTCCTAGCCAGCCCTCTGAACTATCTCAGCGAGGACAGTGACACTGCACCCATCAGAACAGACACCCCTCTCTGGCTTGTCCTGGAGGAAATTCAAGACCCGATGAATCTTGGTGCCATCCTGCGCTCTGCCTATTTCCTTGGAGTGGACAGAGTTGCCAGCAGTCTTCGCAACAGCTGTCCATTGTCTCCAGTGGTCAGCAAAGCCAGCTCAGGTGTTATGGAAGTGACTGGTGTGTATGGGTATAAAAACCTTGCAGATATGTTGAAGCTGAAGGTGGCACAAGGCTGGCAGGTGGTTGGCACAGTTGGAGCCAATGCAGAGCATGCCCAGATTCCTGTCACTCAGTGTTCAGACTTTCAGATGACTAAACCCACACTGTTGTTAATAGGAAGTGAGGGGGAAGGATTGTCCCAAGAACTGCTCTCTCTGTGCCAAACCCTGCTCACCATCCCAGCTGGCAGAGAGCTGATCCCCAGCATCGAGTCTCTGAATGTCTCTGTGGCCACAGGCATCCTGCTGCACTCTCTGCTGAGCTCCAGGAGGTCCACCAGCTGAAGACCACCCTAAATATCTGCCTGTACTGTAACCTAAGATGTAAGAAGGCTGAGAATGATCAACAGAATCACATGCTTGAGGAATAAAATTGAATACTTCACTGTAATTTTCAAAAATGGCTTACAAGATTAGACTGTGGTGAAATTTTACATCTCATTTCTTATTGTCAACAAATCCCAAGAAAACACCAAAACTAACATATTTTGAGTATCTAAATCCTGATATAGTGTATTCCTTTGTGGAACAGAGTTCCATTGTTGTCTAAAAATAAAAAATACTGGTACTGCATACCTGTTTTCACTATGCCATAGTGGATTACTGAGTGTAATGGGCAAAAATAGCAAATTATCAATTTAAAATTTAATCTACAATATGTGCACATTGTGAAGGGGTCAGAATGCTTTCTGAAACCATGCACAGTATATACCTACTGTGTGTGAAGTGGACACTGATTTGTTTTGTTGTGTGTGTGTACATGTATGTATATGTTCTTTTAAACAGAATTTTTGGTGGCCAGTCAGTGATGGGTGAGAAATTAAGACTCATGACCCTCAGACCTCAGTTTATTAGGTACACTGAGCTAAAACTAAGTCAGTCTAAGCCAACAGTCCTGCAGTAAATCCTCCTCCATGAAGGCGATAATGTTCAGTTTGTGTTCAAACTGTTTAAAGAGGTGGTGATTAAACTATATAATCATTTTGGGGGCTGTTATTTGTGCTGTTATGGATGTGCATTACCTTATAGAGAGAGGTGCGGCTGCTCTGTAGCTTACCTTAATTTATATAAATAGGGTAGACAAAGTAGTAGAAACACAGCACCACAACCTATAGCCTCCAATATGACCACACAGATGAGACTCTGGAATAGTTTCATCAACAAAATCTTCATGCGGGTGATTTTTATTTCAGAACTGTTACTTTGCATTCATTTAGCTAGAGGTATCCACAGTACACAGCTGCACCAGCCTTTGGATTTTTTTCATTGTGCATCTTATTCTTTACACTATATAGTCAAATGTATGTGGACACATGAATTCCTTTCTGAACCATGGATGTTATTCTGCGGCTGTTAACTTCATACACTTTTCTCCACATTTTGGAGCCTGCTGTGGGGATTTGCTCTCATTCAGTTAAAAGAGCATTAGTGTGGTCCAACACTGATGTTAAGGTGATAAGGTTTGACTTACAGTACAATCCATACCAGAGGTGTTAGATGGGGTTAAATTCGGGGCTGTGTACAGACCAGCCTCTTTTTCCACACCAAAATGTGAAAATCCTCTCTGTTTGGACCTGGCCCTGTGTGTGGGAGTAATGCCATGTTGAAAGAAAGTGCCAAGCGCTGTCTTGTGATGATGAAGAACAACCCCAGACCAAAAGTACACAGGTGGGCAGGAATGTCTACATAGCTTTACCCATTTAGTGTAGGTTATATAATAATACAAATGTTCAAAGCCCCAGTCAGAGCACACTGGGTTTTAATGGCCATGTTTCTGTATCAGAGTCCCCTTGTAGTTTCTGGCCTTGGGGTTTAAATGATTACAAAAGTCATCTAATGGCTGGAAAGATGACAGAATGGTTAGTATAACTGCTCGGTGACTACACATTCCACATGGTGGCAGTACGCACAAGCAGAGCTGCCAACAAGCCAGTTTGGTGACTGAGGAAGAAGAGTGCCGCACACAATGCAATGTACGTCTGACAAGGGTTGTGTCTCCCTGATTTTCACGATAAATTTCTAATTCAGTGGAAACTTGTAATGGGGAAGCGGCGACGCGGTTCATATTCTCTCTCTCTATATTTTCCACACTGGATTTAGTGAGAAAGAAAATTCTTTGAACGGAAATCTCGGCGAGTGGTCCAACTTCTCCTAAACATTGGATTACACAGTGAAGGCTGCATGAAGGAGTTGCCCAGCCCAACGGGGGCTTGGCCGACACCCTCGTTTATGGAAATCGACACCGAGGCTTTAATATTTGGGCCTTGAAATTTTTTCTTTATGATGGAGGTGGGAGGAAAGAAGAGTTCTGTCTGAAGAGACGAGTTATCAATATTAAATCAGTGATTAGTTGCTAAAGAGCATCCATATTTTCCTACTTTCTTTTAAAAAAAATTGTTGCTTGTGGTTTAGCTGGCTAACAGCTGGATCGGCAAACGCTAAGTAGCCACGGCGCTAACGTTACGTCTTTCTTTTGATGTGATGCGAATTCAACGATTAACGTTACTATCGGCCATCAACATTTCGCCAGGAAGGTAATTTCTTCTCTTAGCTACAATTTGGTAGTTAGCTTTACTGTGTATTGTCCGGCTTGTCAGTCTTTCCAGAGACATTTTAAGAATATAGTGTTATTCTTAGTTCGTTGGCTGAATATATTGTAATGTTTTGAGTTAGCCGCGTACATGCTAACCAAATGAGCAAAAGCTAACTGGCCGGAGTCAACACTGATCTAGCTAAGATAGCAGTAACCCAACAACTCTAACACAACCAGACAGCTCGGTTTACTCCTAGATTGTGAGTAATTTACAGTAACTGTCAACAATAGCACTCCACATTTCAAATTAACATGGAGTCATGTCATGGCCACCGGGTTAACGTCGGATATCTAGGTTATTGGCCTTGCTAACAAGTTAGCTATCCGAATCATTTTGCTAATAAATTTGTCAGCGTGTGCAGAAATTTAGGAAATCCTGGACTTTAGAGTTGTTTTGAGCAAGATTTGCGTGATTTTCTTTTTAAAATCTATCTAGAAACGACTTGGCCTGCTTAGTCGGCGTCATAACTAGACCTGTCTTTTTTGTTTACATGCGTTTAACTTATGTGGCTGTCGGTTGAATTTCTTGCTAGCTAATGTTAGCCTTCTACGAGACACAATCAGCTATGTCCTGACATTTGTGTATGTCGTGGATGATTTAAATTACCATGCGGATCCAAGTTTCATTGAAATGACACTAAAATTTCGCCGAAAGAAAGGCACTGATGCCAATAAACTGTTGTCAAAGAACGGTAAATAAGCCACTGGTTTCATTAACGCCATTTTAACAGGGACTCCCTGACAGGGCCTGTGTAGTGGTGTCTTATTTGCGGTTCGGTGCCTTTCACCGGACCGGGACTTGAGTAAAGTGCCTTTGGCCTCACTGGAGTTACAAAAGGAGGTACCGTTTGAACATGGAGGGCCCGAGCCGAAGCACTGGATTCAGGCAGAGCCGACGATCTCGTTCACAACGCGACAGAGAGCGGCGTAGGAGGAGAGTAGACCTGGCTGCGGAGCGAGCCACATCCCTGTCCTCAGGCTCCGATCAGGAGGCTTGTGGGACGAACAGTGTCCTGGGTCCCGGTGGGAGAGAATGCCGGCCCAGTTTTGGTAGACACAGGCCTCCACGCCGGAGGAAGAGAGAGTCTGTGTCCTGTGAGGAAGACATCATCGATGGCTTCGCTATTGCGAGCTTTATCAGCTTGGAGGCACTGGAGGTAAATTTATTGATCTTACACCAAGTCATCAGCTGTCATTCACCAAATGGTGTTTATTTTCCACAATAGGATATACAAAATGATGGATGAATCTAATGTAGGGTGATGCGTAATATGACGGGCAAGTGGCACCTTGTCCTCTGTTTTGTTTAAATTGAAAAATGTGTGTATAGAGCAGTGGGGATTTCAACTAGATTTTTACTGGTAGTTCTGTCCATCACGTTAAATCATGCCTGTTCCCTGCAGCTAAAGGTGTGAAAATGCTGCAGATTGTACTCCTCAACCCTGACACCAGTTCTTGCTTGGAGAAAGCAATCCACTCAGGCCAAACCCAAACCCCAAGGCATCCCTCTGATGGGTCTTGGAGAGGCTTCAATTATTCATGTTCTAATTCTGTGAGGCGCTGATGAGCTGCCAAATGGCTTTTCAGACACACAAAGGAAAAATAAATGAGTACAATTACTCCAAGATTGGGCTAATACTTCAGCCTAATACTTTGTATTTCTAACTTGCTCAGGTAACTTATCTAGCCATCAAGACAGGAAATATGAATTAATCTGCCTTCAGGGTGTGTCTGCTGGTATCTGCTTGACCTCAGCATCATGCCAGGAAAGTAAATTGTTTGTCAATAGGTAATGTTGTAAAACTTCCTATTTACACACACTTGTACAGTTCCACTTCTTGGGTTACTTGATTTTACAGTCAAATGATCCAGTGAAGGTCAGGATGGATGGCTGCTCACTATCTGAAATTACTAATGGAAAAAAGCTAAGATTTATTGGTGTTCATTAAGGCAAGCTGGCAGTTTCCTTCAGTCAGTATAATTTCCTGCCTGCATTTATTAACTGCACTTATTGTCTGTGGTTCTTAAATGAAAATGTATTTAAACAAATAACCAGTTGGGCAGGCAAGTACTGGTGACCTTCACGTTGAGTTACCTGTGCTTCAAGCTAAGTTTTGTTATGTCAAATGCAGCTATTTCAGCTACTGTCTTTTCTGTAATAAACCAATCTTCACAACTTTGAAGGATTCGACCAAATAGATTGACAGTAATGTGAGAGTTTTGCACAGTTTATGCATCTAACAAACAACTGGAATGTAAACTGTTTTGGATAACATGTAGCACTTGTTAATTTCCAGATATTTTTTTATTACATGATATTATTATATTTTAATGCCTGGGAATTGCTTTAATTTACATATAAGTGACCAGTGCATGTCACTTAATACAAGCAATGCCTTTTTCCCGAAGGCTCGCCTGATCGTTCTTCTTAGTTTTACATAACTCTCTTGAGCTTTGAGCAACCACTTTGTTCTTAAACAGTTTTTGTACATTCACAAAGTCACTGCTTTTAAAATTTTATAATGTGGACCTTTAAATATCTGAGGCAATGCATACTCATTATGACCCTTTGTTGCAGGTTGCATATGTCTCAGAACAGATAGACATAAGAGTGGGGTTTCTTTCTTTCTTTTAATTTTTAGATGGCCTTGAATGATTATAACACTTTTCAGTATTTCACTGTACAAGAGCAAAAGTAAATATATATTTGTGTAGCAAATTTGTTTTTTTACTTGTAAATCATCTCACAACTATTGAGCTATACCTCCTGACCCCCTGTGGAAGATAAAAAATCAGGAAGATTGGGCACCTCTGTACACTACAGTGTACTTCATTATCATTCTTCGTTTGTGAATTTAGTACTTTAATTTATTTTTATTGTGGAATTTTGTCAGGGAGGTATTGATTCGATTCCCGTGTACGTTTTTAGGTTGATACTTTTTGCCCTTCTTTATATACATATAAATAAGGTGGATGCAAGAGGTCAAGTTCAACACCACCACCATGAAAAAAAAAAAACAACTCAAAACACACCATAAGTTTGAGTCTGCACACAAACAGTTGAAATAAGAGTCTCATGCGGGCTGCATTAAATCATTCCAGTGTTTCTATTTTTGTGATCACTGAGTTGAAACTACACAGAAATGAGGTTTTTCAGGACATTCATCTGCATGAGGCTAGCCTGTGGTTCTCAGGCATACAGTGATGCCTTTTAGTATACATGTGTGAACATGGTTTTTTTTTTTTTTTTTCGTCTTTGTATCAGATGGACTGCTCTCTGAAGCCCAGTCAGCGCACTGATATGCTGGGAAGGAGGAATAAGGGGAAGAGAGGGCTGGAGGAGAATGATGGAGGGCCGCTGTCTGAGCCGGAGGATGGCGCTCCGCACAGTTACTCCAGCAGCTGTTGGAACAAGAGCAGAAATAAGAGAAGAAAGATAGAGGTGAACCAAGGACTCATGACTCTGCTGGGCTTTAATGTGTCGACTGTACCTTCCTTCATCTTGTTATGATAGAGATTGAACTGTGTTTACATTTCTGCAGCGTTGCTGACCTGTATATCTTGACATTGAGAATGATCCTGTAAAACTGGTTTACACACACACTGTTGCACAAATGCTAACAACACGTATCATTCAATTGTGTTTAAATGGAGCAGATCAGTAAAGATCATTTTATTTAAACATATTTGACCTTTTTAAAAATGTAATCACTATGAAGTTCATTCATTTTTCCATTTAGTCATCTTTAAACCCTAGTTGAAAGTTACTGGAGCTAACGCCGTGTGTTTATTTATTTATTTATTTATTTATTTTTCTTTTCTAGGGGCAGCCTTTGGAGACTGGCTACATTGTAAGTTTCTTTTCTAACATTGTACCGAACACGAAGTTCTTATGCTGCAAACTGCTTTACAACTATGCATTGTCTATTCCAGCAGATGCAAATCTTAATGTTTTGTTCCATCCCATTTCAGTGCGACACTGAGAGTGATACTGGAGATAAGGTGCGTGCTGCTTACATGATGATACGATCATTAGCCTTGTTGTATTGGGTAAAGATTCAAAGATACTGTAGTAGCAAAGGTGATGAATGCATGACCAGTTTTAGGGCAGAGACACACCAAGCCGATGTAAAATGACTAGCATCAATGAAGGCCAACTGCTGCGTCACCTCATGTTGGCTTTGTCTGGGCCATTCATATTGAAAAAGTGACACTTGCACACACTGCACAGACTACAGCCAATAGGTTCTATGCCTGCGTGACAGTAATAACTCCCCCTACCAGCAGGTGGCAGGGTCTGTATTAGCCATTCAGAAAGGGAAGGAAGAAGAGCTATAACTACATACAGTATGCTGTTTATAGCTACTTCTAATTGAGAATATCTTTGATAAGAAACTGCAAATGATGCTGCCGTTCTCTGCCCATATTCTTTTGGTTGTGGAAGAAGAAAGGAGATTGTGGAAGAGAAAAACAAGGACAAATCGTACTAAATGGGTGATATCATGGATACTACAGCAACAGGCTGAAGGGGCTTTCCTGAACCGTTGCCTTCTCGTGCATTGATTCATTAAGCTCAACAGCCAATCAGAGTGGTCTTTCTCTCACCGACGAGGTCTAACACTTCCCCCTTAGCATCTATGCTCAAAATTTTTCAGTTTTCGATAAAATTGTCATAAATGCATAAATTCAAATACATGTTGATTATTGAGGTCATAGTTAACGGTGGAGTGGTACATAAGATTTCATAAGATAGAGGTGTCTCTCTAGTTGTCCTCTCCAACTACATACATGAAAGGGTGGGAATATCTGAAAATAATGTAGTTCAGAACAGCACCACCTTTAACTAAACATGTAATTGAATTTATACATTTATGACAATTTCACCAAAACCTGAAACATTTTGAGCTTCATAAACACAGATGTTAAGGCGGAAATGTTGCACTGAAGTGCATACATTCGTACCTATTAAGGTGACTGGTGAGTGTAATGTTTTGAGAAGAGCTACGTCATCATTTTAATTAATTTTGTTTTGCATTCTAGGCCTCCGACAATGACAAGGATCCAGTGTTCACAGTCAGTACTAGGAAAGGTATGATAAATTTGGTCCACTTTAATTTCTTCTGCTGCTTCACATTCATGAAACAATTAACTGATGTGTCAGTCAGTGGGCTCTCACAAGGCTATATTTAGATCTTAGCAGAAAATGAGTCAAGTAGTGGTGCTACGTTTAGTCAGTTATATGAAAATTAGAGGCATTCAGCAGACACAGTGATTTGTATGAAAAAAATCGTGTGGTTTTAGCTGGGTATGATTTGAGTTTGTACCTGTGTAGATCTAGTTAAAAATACCAGAAACAGTCAAATGTTTTTATTGCAATATGGGCAAACAGAAAAGGTTAAAGGAAAGACCCAAGTCCAGGTTGGTCCAAATTATCTTCAGTTTAATCAAGTCTGGTAGGGTTTACAATAATTTTTCTTAGGCCTGTGTATCAACATGATACCCATGCACTGATCATGTCAAGCATCACTGCTCAGTAACTGGTGGTGCATCATGATGCTGCCAGTGTTTTCTCTCCTGCTCCTTCTGTTCAGTTCAACCATGTTTTAGATAGAGTGGCTCAGGATGTCTTTAGATACAGATATAGTGCATACTGAGTACTAATCCAGATTTGAAAACTGTATACCTCACTGCTTGGAACTAAGTGGGGATAATTTTTTTATGAAAAGTAACATTAGATTACTGTGGCACTAAAAACTGAGTCAGCAGATTGCTGTGGCTTGATTATTGTAGCAGAAACACTGAATTTTATTACAGTGATAAAGAGATGGTGTTTAAAGACTAATGCAGAGCTCTCTTTCACATTTTGAGGTTGGCATTTCTCTCTGTTGGATTAATTTCCCTTATTCTTGTAACTCTGTATGGTATAATGAGAGAAAAGCCAAAATGCTGACTGATATTCTCTTCTGTAGTTGTGGAGCCTGTGCCCTCGAACATGGACACATCGATGGGCAAAAACTGCCCATCTCTGTCAGCCCGTTGTGGTGGAGTCTCACGGTTGATGGTGACCCCGCGAGTATCTGGCCTGGAGCGAAGTCAGGAGAAAAGCCTGGAGCTACATTTTCCAGAACCTGTTTCTTCTTCTACCTCTTCTGCCTCCTTCTGCCTGCCTTCCCACCCAGCCTCAGGCACAGTGCCCCGGCCCAGCCTGGCCAACGGCACCGGCAGCCAACACACTGGCAGCCCCTCACTCTCCAAACACAAATCCTTCCTCTCTTTGCCTGGGCGATCTCACTCCATCTACAACAGGTATGTTAACTTTCAAGTCCCTACAACATACAAATGTATTAAGTTTTGCTTTTTTTATTGTGAATCTTACCAACTGCCTCACAGCAAGAAGGTTCCGGGTTCGAGCCCCGGTCGACCCGGAACCTTTGTGTGTGGAGTCTGCATGTTTTCCCTGTGCCTGCGTGGGTTCTCTTCGGGTACTCCAGCTTCCTCCCACAATCCAAAGACATGCAGCTTAGGTTGATTGGCGACTCTAAATTGCTTGTAAGAGTGTGTGTATGTGTGGTTGTTTGTCTACATGTCAGCCCTGTGATAGATTGGAGACCTGTCCAAGGTGGACCCCGCCCCTCAGCCAGTGTCAGCTGGGATCGGCTCGCACGACCCTATTCAAGAACAAGCGGTATAGATTATGGATGGCTGGATGGTTTTATGTTCAGCTCAAAACCAGTGTGATTCATATTTTATACTTCTGCTTTCCTTCTTCTCAGGAGCAGCACCCCAGTGAAACCTCCATCTGCTTCATCTGTTGCGTCTTCCTCGTCCTCCGTGCGCCCCCCGACTCCCTCCACAAGTGTGTCGTTGCCGTACATGAGGGGCTCAGGATCCTCGGGGCCCCTTCGACCCCCATCACGAGCCAGCACTGGGGTCCTTTACACATCCTCACCTGGCCTTCCTCCCCCTCCACCTCTGCTACAAGGTCCTGCAGCAGGTACAGTCAGTCAACAAGAATTGTGCTTTTACAGACTGTTGGTCTTCATCGGCTGTTCATGGGAACGTGATGACTAAAAGGTTTCATAAAAAGAACAAACAGACTTTCTCTGGTGGTTGTCTGGGGTGGCAAGGACAACTGAGATCTGATAAAGCAGTGGCTGCACTGTGTTTTATATGGAGCAGCTTCAAAAGGACAAGTTTGTGATTCTGTTGTCTGTCAGGTGAACCTGAGCAAGTGTTAAAATCAAACGACTGTTATTTAAGAGCCTGTTGTGGTTTTTTTTATTTATTTTTTTCCCCTTTATGCTGGTGCTCGTGACTAAAGAGCAAGAATTATTCAAAACTTAAACTGGTGCCTCTTGAATTCACCAGAGCGTGAGGGCAGACGCAGCGTCCCAGGGCCTGAAAGTAGTGCAGCAGCTGCAGGCCGCTCCACTCCCGGTGGTCCAGCAGCATCGAGCTCCACACCGGGTTCTTCTGGTCGGACGTCTCAGAACCAGCCGAGCATCCCTCCCCTGGCCTTCCAGTTCCATCAGCACAACCACCAGCACCAACACACGCACACACACCAACACTTCACACCCTTCCTGCACCCCACAGCTACAGCACCGCCTCTGGTGAGATACTCTCTGCTGTTATGCTGAACATCTGTGTTGTATTTGAAATTCCAATGTGGCTGGAATATGAAGTTGTTTTTTTTTTTTTTAAAGATGTTTTAACCCACAAATTGCTTTTGTCTTTTAGTTTGATAAATATGCAGGCAAAATGGACGGGCTGTACCGACACACTGTGAGTACTTTTTTTTATCTTACTGAGTAAGTAGGTGGTGATAATCTACAAATTAAGTAAAAGAACAAAGATGAGAAACATTCAAAACATTTTTATAGACTCTTAAGTGGTCATTCAGTTATATAGATGCTTGTCTGTGTCATGGCAGTTCTTCCCACAGTACCCGCCGCCCTCAGTGCCGAGTATCCAGCCTGTGATTCCTCCCACTGGGCCTTTCAGCTCTTTGCAAGGAGCATTTCAGCCAAAGGTGAGAACAGCTCTCTTTTTTTACTTATTCCTGGACACTCACTAGAAGTCTTGTCAGAGGGCCTCTCACAATATCTGGACTCAACATTGACTAGTGTGAGTTGAGTTAATTTGATCAGTAGGTTGTGGCTGATGTGTTTTGCTGTGTGTGACAGCCTCTTGTCCCTCAGGGAACGGGTCCTGATATAACCTCTCGACTTGGGGTCGTGCCTCACCACCTGCAGCCCAAAGACCCGAGGGTAAGGACAGTATGATATCTTGCAGCTTATTTGCATCATTCCTCTAGTGAATACAATACTAATGTGGACAGTCAGTTTAGGCTAGGATGTGCTGCAACATGGGCCTAGTCAGTGCAGTAAAGAGTGCAAAGCTATTCCTGATAGAGTGAGACATGTTGATTAAAAGTGGTTTTACACTTCTGTTCTCTTGTAGCTAACTGATCCATTTGGGACATCGTTGAAAATCAGTAATGTAAGCAAAAACAGATGTCTTTGAATCCCTTAGCTCCTTTAAACCTCCAGGCTTTTGCACTTTCTCACTGCTTCACTCACTCTTTGCACTAATCTCACTTGTAATCTTGACTGCTACTGGTCTCTTCTCTGCCCTTGCACACCCAGTTAGATATTTTGAACACAGAAATTACCCCAGTGTGCTGTGTATGTTGTTCTTTCTTGAATTTCTTGTATCCTTGAATCTATTTCCAAAATTAATACTGGGCCCTTGTGAGTAGTCTTATCTTTAGCCGGAGAACCGTGATCTGGAGAGGTTAGAAAAGAGACTTCTGAATAAGAAGAAGAGCATCTGACTCTGTGTGCAAAGGATTTAAACGTGTACATGCAAAATTCATGGAGTAACATAGTAAACCCCTGTGATTTTTGTGCTGTGCAGAAACCAGGAAAATGGTGTGCTATGCATGTATATGTGGCCTGGATGATTCTAAGCCATCAGAAAAAAGTAAAGGTAGGAGTTTCTCATTTAAATGTGTTGTAAATTCATTCATGTAAAATTCAGTTAAACTGCCACTTTGAGAGATTAAAGGCTTCATTAGTTATGATCCAGTGATATGTATATTCACAGTGGACAGAGGAAGGTTCAGGCTAACTGCTCTACCGATCTCTTTCAGCTCATGCAGGCTGATCCTCACAAACTGGATTTCCGTAGTGACCTGCTGGCCCGTCTTCCTGGACCTGGGGGCCTGGGTCCCTTGGGCCCCATAGGGGGAACCCTGCCATCTACTCATGACCTGACCAGGCCTCCCAGTCTGTTCTCAGCTACAGGTGCATCACTTAATAGCTTATTGTTCATTTGGCAACTGCAAGAATGTGTAATGTCAAAAAAGATAACATTCAGGCTGCCTGGGCTTGTTTTTTTTTCTTTCACTTCTGTAAACAAAATTTGGCCTAGTTTCTTCAAGAACCCATTCATTCCTTCCTTCCTCTTCTTATAACCTACCATTATCTTTTTCTTTGTCCTGTCCTAACAAGGTTTGACAGCTCAAATGTTTGCAGCGCCATCTGAGTCACAGCATGAAGTGTGTGTGTGTGTGTGTGTGTATCTTGATGTGCATTATTTGATTACTCATGGCATTTTTTGGCTGTACTGTTCTTTCCCTCAGGTGCCGTCAATCCATCCTCCGCCCCTTTCATCTCCCCGTCAGCCCCGCACTCCTCTTTCCTCACACCAACCGCACACTTGGGTAAGAGCAACTTAAAAAGACACATCTGTATGTCTGTCACCCTGTTTTGACTTTGACCATAAATAAATAACAAAGAACAACTTTATTTATTGTTGCTAGGGTTTGTATAATTAACATTTAAAGGTACCACAGATTTTAGCTACAATTGTGAAGTCCTTTTGCGGAGTTTTTCTGGTCTTTTGTTCATGCTCTTACACCTGACTAGTGAGATTCTGGCTCTTTGACACAGCCTAAAATTGTGTTGAAACGCTGTAAGAAATGTAGACATGCTGTTCTTGATATTTATCTGCATGTGGTTTAGATCCATATGGCCGATCCCCACCTTTCACCTCGCTGGGAGCCCTGGGTTCTGGTGCCTTCGGAGGACTTGGCAGCCCAACACTGGGTCAGTCTCAAAATATCTCTAGCCTTGAAACACAAGGCTTAAATGATTTGTTTAGATTTTTTTCAAGTCTGTCTTAAAACTATCATCACGTCATAGCTTTGAGTGCTGCACAGCTGTTTGTAATACTATGAGACAGGATCTTACGTCTCACACAGCATTGCAGTACCTGTTTTGTCTTTTTTGTGATCTTTTTTTGAGGGTGACTGTGGTTCAGTGAGTAGAGCAGTCATTCCCAACCGGAGGGTTGGAGGTTCGAATCTTGGTACCTGCAGTCTACATGTTGAACTGTCCTTGGGCAAAACACTGAACCCCCAAGTTGCCTCCGATGGTTAGAGCCATCAGTTGAGTTGGCACCACAGATGGCTGCCTCGGTTCTGTACCGGAAACAAATTCCTTGTGTGTGTAACATACTTGGCCAAATAAAGGTGCTAGCGGTTAAGGCGCAGCGCTCTTGCTGTCACTTTCTATCTGGATTATCACCAGGTAAGAAAGTCACTTCCGGCTTTTCTCGTTTAGGGGTCGCCACAGCGAATCGTTACACTGACGACTCGCATGTTGACATTTGGCAATGGTGTTTTACGCCGGATGCCCTTCCTGACGCAACCCTGCGCCTTAACCACTAGCCTAATCATTAGAAATACGGTGTTCACTTTACACAGTAAATAATCTGGAGTGTACTGGTTGGCCACCACAGGTTTTTGCTGGATGATATGCTGCTTTTTAGCCAAAGTTAAGCCAGGTTCATGTTTATTACTGAACAACCCTTTTGATTAAGTTTTTTTTGTTTTGTTTTTTTCCTGCTGGAGCCCTTGGCGTTGGCACCTTTTATGACTCAGTGGACCAGGCTCACTGAAATGGATGAATTTTTCATAAAGAGCTAAAGTCGGTTTCTTTGGTTGCTGTTCTCATTCCTCCTCTCCATACTGGCTGTGAAGTAATCCCTTCCTTAGGCCTCCTCCAGTGCAACAATGTGTTTTGGAGTTCAGCTGTAGTTCATTGTATGAGGCTTCAGCTGTCCTCGGTAGCCAGAGTAAGTGGGTATGTTGTGTAGGTTTATTGATGAATTGTTGTGTACCAGCAACAAACCGAGATGTCAGTACCAGGAAGTACTACCCCACTGTGACTCAACAAAGAAATGAAGCACACAAAGAGAAATATGTACTAAGAATGCTGTAACTTTGGTTGAACTTTTTCCGTTTGGCTGACTCAAACATCATATTGCCTTCATCTGAAGAAAAAACTGTTTTGCACAGGATGTTTTTACATTATGGTTGTAATAGAAATGGATCATGTCACGGTCAGCATGGACAGGAGGAGTAATTACAGTCTGTATTTAGACAGACTTGAAAAAACCCAAACTTATCCTTTGAGTCCCGCTGCAGTGCAAGAGGTCCATCTTTAGTGTGGATGATTTAAGATACATGAATAACAGAGTACTTTGAATTTATGATAACTAATTACTGATGTCATATTTGGAAATTATGAAAAGTTGAACGGTTGTCTTCAATTTAGTCAAAGGATAAGGCGTGTGTGTGGGTGGAAAACAGTCCATCTGCCCACATTGTGCAATATATAATGTTTTTTAATTTCTAAATTGTTAACCCACTCACCTGAGTGGGGGAGTGTCGTAAAACAGACAAACTGGCACGTCCTCTGATCGGAGAAGTTGTCCGCTCCCTGTTAATGAGGAATGATGATGAACTTGTTGTGGCTTGTTGACATCGCCAGTCACTTCTATTCACCACAGAACCAGCACACAAGAAGTGATGCTTTTTACACCATGACTACATTTTTATACATATAAGCATGAGCTCACTGGCAACGCGCTTTGCTAGTTAACGATTTTAAGTCTCTCAGTGGCCTCTGTAGACCCGTCCAACAAATCTGACATTGTTGTTACCTCAGTATAATGAGGGACATTTGGTAAACTTCATTATAATGTGTAAGGGCAAATTAACACTTATGACAGTTATTATGAGTTCATGCTATTTTTAAGGACTGGTAAAGGATTAATTCAAATAGTAGCTCCTTCTGCCATATATTCAAATTCAGTAGCTAATCTGTAACTGTGCTGTGGGTTGTAAAGGTACCTGCTGGCAGTACTGAAAACAGGAGGAGGTGAGGTGGCTGCTTCCAAAGAAACAGATAAATTTACACGTTAGCTCCCCATTCTCATGAAAGATTTGTGATTGTAGCTGGTTACCTTCCTGCCATTATTGTCAAGCCATTATTGACCCATTATTAATCAGGTGTGTGACATTGTATAACAGTCATGGCTGAGCTTCATCTAAATAAATGCAGTAATAGAATTAACAAAATAATACCTTAAGAACAATCTGATGAATTATGATGACCTCTGCAGCCATAGTTCCATTTCTCAGCAGGATCATCTTGTCTAACTTTGGCCAAAGTGTCTGTCTGTCATTACTCAATGGTTTTCTCCCCTCTTAATTCTTTTCTCTTCTGTCTCATAGCACAGCTACAACTCAGCTGTCACTGTCAGAGACATGCTGTGAATGGCTTTGTCATTGATGTACAAGGTTGGATGCATTAATTTAAGTAGCTGGGAAGACTGGACACAGTCCAAATAAAAGCCCAACATGGATTAGACATTTCTGCCAAACTAGAAGGAACTGGTTTATTGGGAGGCTATTTGTCCCATTTTTAGTTGGGTTTGACCAACTAGACTAAGATGGGAGGGATTGTTAATTAAAATGCCCAGTGCAAACCACAACAGTCACTGGGTTATAAGAGATTTGATCATGTTGCAAGCACCAGCTGGTTTTGATTAAGATTTTCTTTTCCAGCTGTAAAAGAAGTTGCTCAAGCAATACAAGTTTAGAGTGTAAAAATCAACTTTTTACATGTTTATTCGAACTTGAAAGACTTAATAATCATGCTAAGGAAGATTATAGATGCTAACGACAAAACCTGATGTAGAGCATGTGTTTTTGCTTCCACAACATGACAGGAGTAGTTTTAAAATATTTAATTTGAAAGTTTCAAGTTAAAGATCCTCAACCACTTTTTTTATTTTTTTTTATTCTCTAACAAAAAATGTCTTTGGTGTGCAGCGGGCTCCATGTTTGGCCCTAAAGACTCCCCAGCCAGTGTGGTCGGGGGCTTGTCCACCCCCAACCATCATGACCCGTGGAACCGTCTACACAGTGGCCCACCTGGGTTCCCCGCTGGTTCCAGCTGGGCTAAAGGAACAGACAAGAGGGATGAGAGGGATCGAGGGAAGGATGTAGAGAGGAGAGACATCCCGTACATCAAGGATGAAAAGGACAGGTATGAATTTCAGCAGAATTAAATTCTGTTTGTATACTGGAGGAATAGCTTGGAGTTTTTCCCATGAGAAGGTGTTAGTGATCAGTTACCCCAGCCAGTGCTGTGATTTCCCACTGAAATAGGGACATGTCGCATTCGAGCTTGTTTACATTATTACTGTACAGCATGGATTGGGCTGCATATTTCCCTCTGAACCTGACTGGTGTCCACGAGTCTGGCATCCGAACCTGACCTGACAACCTTATAGTATAAAATTTCCGAACCCAACCAG